AGAGAGTATTAATGAGCTTAAGGAGATTAATAAATGAATGACATGTGTAGGGTTAGTGAGAGTTAGATAGATAAAAATTATTTTAGATTGATATAAGAAAAACTTATGTTTTAAATTCTTCCCTTAGGTTTTGAAAAGAGGTATTAAGGAGAGATCGGAAACGACACCTTCAAAGGAGCGACATTTGAGGTAGGAACGTACTCTATATATTCATGTTCTTTTATATTTTTGTTTTGAAATATCTCATTAGTTGATTTTGATACATATTAAATGCATATGAAATGTCTTAATTATTTGATGGAAATGTAGAAATGTTTCTATGAATCAATGCATATTTGACGATCTCAAGTATATTAAATTCTCATTAATTGTTAGTAAGCATTTCATAGAAGCCTATTTCATGTACTTGCTTCATACTCAATGCATATGATTGTTATGAAAATGCTACACTACATACATATGTTTCTATAGAAAGAATATGTAAATGATTGTGCATGTTGAAGGCAGAGTATCAAATATGGTGCAAAAGCACAAATACGGCTCTTATGAGCAATATGACCCTTTGGGACAAAAGAGGAAAGGAAAAGAATGACCAAAATATGTTTGTGTACTTGATCAGTACATTTCTAGTACTCCGGTATGACTATATAAGATAAAGTATAAGCAAGCATAGACATAAGACATATGATATAATTGAAAGCATATCCAGATGAACTATCATATCACATTTAATATTTACAAAAGAACTACCATGTATAGCAAAACAATCAAGATATTTTACTTCTAGCATACATGTAAATTTTCATTTAAAAGGCATGTGGAGATGTTAAAGTTAGTGTTTTCTATTGAGTTTTAGCTTTTTCTCTCGTTTTGGGACATTTTCAAGAGAACCCACCGCAAAGAATGGCTGACCGCCCTTGGTTCACCAACAGTCGTAGAGGACCAGATTTTTTTAGTTGTAGTTTTCATTTTGGGTGGTTTGGCATGTTTGAGAAATTTTAAAGCCAACTTTGTATATTTGAACTGATATGCAATATTTAATACAATTTGGAAAATATTTAGAGGCGCCTTTAGTTTCTTATGAAGTGTTTTAGATTATTTATTGCATGTTGTAAGAAAAGTTTATGTTCTGCACGTCCGACATCCGTTCCCTCCTCGTCTACACGAGCTTATCGGGCCGGGTCATGACAAGTTTATTTTATATTTCTGTTTTTTCCATTTTACCCTTGGGGGTAGTCATGTGGTGTTGTAACCCAAATGACATTTTAGTCATTATTTCTTTTCTTTTCATGAGGCCTATTTATAAGCTAGTTCTCTTGTATTATGGGTTAATGATGAATATGAATAAAAATTTTAGCTTTCTTGTTCTTGATCTCTTTGAGAGTTCTTGAGAGGAGAAACCCTAGGAGAGCCACGCATCACCCGTCAGCCGTCGGTGGATTCCTGGGCTCGCAGTTAGTACTCGTAGTATTTTCTTATCATCTCTTCCTTTCCCCTATACCCGGCCACCTCTTCTTCCCCAACCACCCGCCAGCCACTTCAAGTATCCAAGCCGCCGGTCAACCTCAACAAGATCCCTTCCACTTAACTCACACCCCTTCCTCCTTAGCCAAACGCCACCCAAACCCTAACCGCCGACCTTCCCCTCCCATGGATCCAAAATTGATTGTCTTGCCTCTTTCCAAAAGTGGGGCATGAAGATTAGGAGGGAGATCCAACTCAAAAACTGATTTCAAATTCATATTTTGAATTATTTCCTAAATTGACATAATCCATATTAGAAAATTGCTCAATTCATGGATCTAAGTTACCTAGCGCAAGCCCTTAGCCGCCAGCATGAAGCCTCCACTCGTCGGCCCCTTGCTCCACCACTTAAAGCGCCGGCCATGTCCTTCTCCCCCACAATAGCCGTCGGCCACATAATTCCCTCCAAACTTTTGAATTTGAATCCACCATAAATGCTTTCTTAATTTAGGAGGAGAATTAAATTCAAATGCAAAATATTTGAATTTCAAAACTCTTCTTAAATTCTTCTCCTTTAATTTAGGAAAAACCCCCAATTAACTTGAATATGAAATTAATTTCAGATTTAAGTATTGAATCCCCTTAATTGCTTGGGCCCACCTCCTTCACGCCTAACCCCTCTCTCTCTCCTCTCTCCTTGGCCAGCCCCTTCCCCCTCCTCTCTCTAATTAATTAAGTCTCATAAATTAAGGATATAATTAATTCAATCCCATCCCCACTTTCCTTCATAATTCCCACTCATTTCAAATTCAAATTTCAAGGAAATTACTCTCTAATTACTCACTAGACATGAAATTATTTTCATATTTAACCATTTTCCCTTCTTACCCTTTGCTTGGCCGAACCTACCCGACCCCTTCCCCCTCTCACTCTCTACTTTCTCTCTTAGACAATCATGCATGGCCGACCCAGATGTTGATCATGGGTTCGTAGAGGATTCTCTGGATCGAATCGACATTCTCCGATCTCCATTCTTCGATTTCAATTTGGACATTGACGACTCTGTGGAATGCTACATTGAACGCATCATCTTCACGTTGGCCCCGTCAATTGAGGAACACCTCCCAACCGGATTGTGGATGATCGTGGGACGTCAACCAATCCATCCGTCGCCAGCTACCTTCGGTGAACTCTTTCCCTCGCTCTTTATTTTCCTCGTTACTTTCAATTGTGGAATTTAATTGATTCACTAAGATCGTGCTAGTCCTCCGCTAAAGCCTAGTAAATTATAGAGTTGTATGAGGAATCCTTCATAGTATTAAGTCTAGGAATTTCTTGTTGAAACTTTCCATATATGCAATGTTAGACTAATTGATTGTTTTATGGTCTTAACTCCTACACATGTGATTTAGCCTAAGCTTATGTCACCACTCTTTGTGTTTTATGTTGTCATTTGAAATCACTATAAAGATATAATTATTGTGCTCTAAATATTAAGCATGCAAATTCCTTAATATAATCATCCTTGCATGTTTGGTTTCACATCATCTTGGTATCAAAGCATGGCTAGCATGCGTTACATGTGTTAGAAGTCATCCTAAGAGCTTACATAACCATTCTTATGTATTGTTGCATGCATATCATCATTTAAACTAGTTTAAATTACTATTATGCGTGCTATCCATATCATTTCTACACACATCTAGTGAATGTTGGGCTGGTTTCTTAATTAATTAGGTGTTGTCCTTAACTTAACAACCTTCCTAATTGCCTAGATTTCTTAAATCACCATTGTAGCTTGTTGTCCAAACCATTAATGCACCATCTAGTGACCTTTAGGTGAGTTTGATTAAGTGTTTAGGTGTTGTCCTCAACCCAACAACCATCCTAATTGCCTAGATTACTTAAGTCTCACTTGTAGCTTGTTGTCCAATAATTTCTTGCACCATATAGTGAGTCATAATTATGTTTTCTCCTTGTAGAGTGTTGTCCCTGACACCCAATCTTCTTTAAGTATTACTTAGCGCTTCCCAATGGACCCTATAGGACTTCAAAAGAAGTTGGATGATCTTATTAATCTAGTGGCTCTATGACTAAAACCATGAAGTAAAAACCTGTTGACTCTCCCCACTCTAGTTACGTGACCCATTCGGTCGATCATGCTAGTCGGAAGGTGCCCCACTCCGCTTATCAATGTCTTTAATCACGTGTTAAGATTTGCGGCGAATACCTTGGCAACTGTAGAGTTCTTTTGCAACTGACTACCACAAATAAAAACAGAACCCACTGCAAATATAATAAAGTAGAATATGCTTCATTGATCTAGAATTGAACTATAACTCAAATTACAGAGAAATTATCGCTAGAAATTCCCTGATGAAAAGTAAACTTCTAACTTTACAGCGTACAGCACGGGTAGATTTTAGTGGCAATGACGTATTACTTCATGCAAAAAGCGTTGTTCTTTTCAGATCTGCTGGAGTTTCCACATACTTATTTTAATTGTAAATCGATCTGACCTAAAATAAGGTAGAGTTGTCCACCTCAATGGATGACAAGTTTGAAGAGCTCGTCACTGCCAATAAGCAGGCAGACTATCAGCCTCATATTGTTAATAATACGATGCCTAGCAAGATCAAAGAAACCAAAACCTTAAGCAAATTATCACAACATAAAGCCTTATCCTACTACGTGTGGTCGGCTACATTAATAGCCAAAAATTTTATTTTACATGCATTGGAACTTAAAGCATAGAGCTCTCCAGATGAACCAAAAATGTGTGAAATTGGCAATGAAAAGTTGGATCATGCTGCCCCTAATCTACTCGCAAGGGGCAACAGAAGGAGAGATTATTTTGTGCGGATGCCAAACGCAGTTCATCATCCGGAGACTAACCAGAATGCGTCACGTAGCGGTACCGAGCCGAGTACCGAGCCGCGGTACCAGCAGTGGGTGATGTGGTGCAATCTGATTGGTCTCCGAATGATATTCGGCGTCCACACGTAATAATTTCACCAACATAAGAGGATGTAAGAGGATGGGAACTCTTTGAATATAAGTTTATATGAGATAAGGGCAGAGTGTTCCTAGTCAGCAAACGTGCATGCCATATGCAGATCATCTGAATCTATGTAACCTATTTTATTCATAATGATGCACTGTTGATTGATAATCAAAACTCATAAAAAGTGGTTCAACAAAGACAGTTGAAGGCCTTTCATTTCCTAAGGAAACAAGAAGAAGTAGAAGCACTGATTCAGGTTCTCTCCAATCGACATGATAATTCCATGGTGCTTATCGCATCACAACCACGCCCGATTGGTAGTTGGAATTTGACTTGACTACATGGATTTATTGAATAAGTCCTAGCTGCCAGAAAAATGCTTGCAGGGCAAGGATGGGTTGCACAGTGCAATTACTAAGGTAATTGGAGAGGGTCCCCAAATCCGTTATACATATGCAAATCCTCCTAAAACAAGGGACATCCAACTAATAATTCAGAGAGTAATCTGATGCAAAAGATGAACTGCATTTACCATGAAAGAACAAGGCCGCCCTCAGCAGAACTCACAAGTACGCCATCGTAACTGCACAAAGTATTGCCTTTAATTGGAATCAAACATTTTTCAGTAGGTTTGATGTTTCAAACAGCCAAGGTGAATTTGAAACACAAGATAGCTCTTGATATAATTTTATAATAAATTAATAGTACACGTTGAATGATTTCCTTACTCTAGCCAATCTATGGTGATTTCCTGTTTCATGTGCTTGAGTAGGACAGTCAACTGCATCCCTATCCCTATCCAAGCTGTACGCATAGGGCCATCTTCGAATGAGAAAACCTGAAGAATGTAGAGAACACGTACATGTCAAGATCTATTATCACAAACAAAATCATCCATGCAATGCTCAGTGAAATACATGTGAACTAAATCACAACATATATCAAAAGAAATTGCTCAAATTCAAGAAGGAACAAAATAGAATGTCACGAATATTAGAAGAAAGAAAGAAATGACCACGTGCAAGATCAAAAATCCCAATCAAATTGAAAGCATATACGACTAGAAAATAGAGATACTGATAACATCATATATCCCTTGGAAATTGAAAGCAACTTTTCAATTTCTAGATCTTCTTATGCCCATCTTTAATTTTGGTTGAATTTCTCATGTTTTTATTAGATTTATTTTAATAAATTGAATTATCCTTTTGAATAATATTAGGTTTTAATTTGAATATTTGGTTAGGATTAAATTTATTTTTCATACAAAATTATATTTGAATTCAAAATATTTGACATCATTTTCGCAAAACTAATTCTATAAATAGAGATTATGACTTGCATTCAAAATTATAAAAGCCCTAAAACTTGTATCCAATAATATATAAAAAAACATTCAAAAATTGAAATGGAGTGTGCTAAGAGAACTACGTGTTACCACAATTCAAAAACACCATACGTTAATCATACATACAAAATTTTGCTCACCAAAATTCAAGAACATATGGCTTACTCAAATGCATACCTCTATCTCGTATCCTATCTCCTTCAAAGCAGCAGCAATGCTGATCATCTGCAGCTGCATGGCATCCGCTGAAAACCCTCCAACTATCTGTCATCCAAATTTCCCGTAAAGCCACAACATCAACCAACAAAAGTAAAACCAAGAAAGAAACAATTTAGTTCAATCAAGAAACCGCAAGCAGAGAAAGCGAGGAACCGACCAGTGCCAGCCGCGGTTTTCTAATCCCCGCGCGCTTCATTGGCCTGCCTAACGCCATCAAAGTTGAATTCGCTTCCTTCCACTCCCTCTCGATTCTCTCCAGAAGCTTCGCCGGCACGAACCGTATCCCCTCCCCGAAGTCCAAATCCCAGTAATTCCCCGGCAAAGGTCCGTGATCCCCCTCAACATTGCCTCTGGCAAAAGATTTATCCGGAACAGAGCCAGGAAGGAAGGCCTGGAAGAGAATGACGGCGAAGAAAAACGCCGCAGCAGTCAGGATCCATTGAAAGTAGTCGACCTTCTCGAAGAGCAGGAAGCGGGCCAGTCTGGATCTCGGTCGGTGGAATAACGAACGGCAGAAGCTGGCGGAGCGGACCGGCGGGGTTCGCTTCAGCGAGGTGCTCTTTTCCAGAGATCCCATCTACAGTAAGAAGACCGCAGAGGAGAAGAAGAGCAAGAAAGGACCATCGGATGTGTTTTACTCCCTTGCCGCTGTCTATTCCGCTCCAATCGAGCCGACGAAATCGAAATCTGCCATTAACAAAACCCGACTAAAGAGCTGCTCACAGTGTGAGCTCGAAGCGACAGAGAGAGAATTGTCCTGGAGGCGCGGCCAGTCAGCGAAAAACATGCTGCTTTTTTACGTTTAAAGAAAAAACTGGAAACGGAATACTCGTGCTGACATGGCATGATCAGAGGCGTCGATGCGAGGTGGCCGCCCTTTGTCGAGGCCTCGGGTGGGAATCGAGGGACGGTAAATTTTTTTTGTCGCTTTTTGAATTTTTTTAAAATAAAACATTTTGGAATTTGTACGCACTAAGAACGGTAATGTTCGATTTTTTTTAAAGAAATATTATAATACTAAGATTCTTAAAAAATAAAAATAATAAGTAAAATAAAATGTTATTGTCAACTAATTTTGCTGTTAAGAAAATAAAAAAAATGCTCTCAAAATTTTAGAATTTAATATCGCTTAAATAAAATTTATGTTTTGCGATCAATATTCAGAAAATTTAATGAGAAAAATATTATTGCATTATTACGTTGTTCCGTACAATTTTTTAAAGGTAAAATACTTGAAGTTACAAAAAGGAAAAAAAAAAAAGCAAAACGATCCAATTAAAATGATCTACTCTATACTTAAAGTTACAAAAATTTGTTATTTCTCTTAACTATAGAAGAAGATATTATAAAAACAAACCATTATATTAGTAGTGAATGCTAGAAAAGTAATAGTGATTGATGATGCCTGATAAGAAGATAGTGATCAAATAATGGTAGTCAAGCGATAATGGATGAGCTATGATTACTAGAATGATAGTAGTCGGATGACAATGGATGAGCTTCTAACAATTGTAAATGAAATTTTAGATAATGAATATAGTGAAATATTTCAATGTGCGTGATATTTATTTGTTTTTTTCCTGGACATATTTGTCACAACCCAACCCGATCGGGATGGATCCCGCTCGCATCAGGTCGCGACGGAACTATAACTTGAAATCCAGGATCTAGCTTTGGAATTTGCTTCAGAACTTTCTTCCAAATATTAAATAGACAGAAAAACACAGAGCTACTATAATCATCCAATTACAGAACAGTTCATCTATTTTTTTTTTTCTTTCATCAAAACAATCATCTACAATACAATCCATGACTTCAGACAGAAATAACAGAACAAAACAGAAAAGTCATGATTGTACTAAAAATCAAAAGTACAAAATACATAATCTCAGATCAGACACAGAACTTCTAGTCCAAGACCTCCTTCCCTTTCCCAGAACCTGAAAACCACGCAAAAAACAAGGATGAGCTAACAGCTCAGCGAGAAATCACTCACCAATCAAAATCATCAGAAATTCACATCAGAAAAAAGTTGTACGGAAATCATAGAACAAATACTTGATCAACAGAAATCAAACAACTGATACAGAAAACTGAAGTCATGTCGAATCAGAGTTCAAAACAGATATCATAAAGCTTTCAAGTCATAGAGCAGTCAGAATCGTACGGAATAACCAGAATCGTACAGAAATCAGAAATCAGATAAAATCACATTCATATCAAATAATTCTAATCACATACTTCATAAAACAGATCAGATAAGTCACAGCACAGATTATCAGATATCAAACATCAGATTTCAGATAACATATCACATATCAGATTTCAGATTCCCAGACCCTTACAGAATCTCGACGGATTCTGACCCCTTATGCTTTCCTTCCCTGACACTTACAGAATCTCGACAGATTCTGGCCCCTTATGTCTCCCTTTGTGCTTATAACACCAGAACAGAACAGATATTCGGAATTCCGGGACAGAGCTTATTTTCAGATTTCAGAGCTCATTTCATATTTTCCTGACACTTACAAAATCTCAAAGGATCCTAGCTCCTTATAACTCCCTTCTGATAGCATACAAACACTTCAATTCATTAAATGTATCAATTCAGAAAAATCAGAATTCATACGAAAAATCAGCGGCATAACGGCAGTATACGAAATTTACACAAAATTCACAGATTCAGAAATTTATCAAATTATCACAGAATATCCACAACAACATTATAAAACTTTTACTGTACTGAAGTAATAATATCAGACATCCAAATAAATTGTTATTCGAATAAAACTCAGCATAATTCAAAATACCCGGTAAAAATCTTCCAGAACATACTCAAAATGTGCACAATTATCATCTCAAAAACATACCAAAAGTTATGCGGTAAAACATTTGTAAGAAGAAAATAATACCAGAAATTCGCTAACGTAAACAAAATCCGGAATAGAAAAGTCATCAAAATTCTCGTTTCTGAAAATTGAGAAAGGCGGAATGTGCCTTACCTCGAGTCGATCAACTTTCCCAACTACAGCCACTGACGAAAACGAACCAGAGTCGCCCAAAAATCCTCTTTTCTTCCTCTTTCCACGGTTTTCTCTCTCTCGTGGACTTTCTCTCTCTTCAAAATCGACACCATTTAGATATTTATTAAGTAGGATCGTCCCGGACGATGTCCCGATTTGTCCCGGGACGATCTTCTCTGGACTCAAATCGTCCAGACGAAAATAAATTCCAATTTCTTCGTCCATGGACGAAACTCTCTGTTTGGTTTGTCCCGACGGTTCGTCGCGACCCTTACAGGTTCGTCTAGACGAACCATACAGATTTCTTCACAAATTCTTCAATTCGTCCCGTACTAAGGCCAGTTCGTCCAGGACTAAGAGCACTCAAAAAAACAGGTTTGGAGGGGTTTTACAACATTGATTTATATTAATTTGATTATAGAAGCTCCAATAAATGATAAAACAGATAAATCAGACGATTCTTCAAACTTAGATCTTAGGGCGTGCCACAAAAATAGAATAACAATAGTCGAACAATAATAGTGATCGCACGACCATGGTTGCTACTAGGAGTTGTCATTGGAGTTCTCTTTTTAGTCTCGGTGATATATGCATCACTTTGAAACTTATATATAACATATAGAGATTTTATAATCCTAAAAATGGTAAAATCAACTAGGGATATAAATGAGCCGAGTCGAATTGAAGCTTGAACTTGACTTGCATCATTTACTTTCGCTAAGCTCACCTCTTTTGTTCGAAATTCGAAAAGTTGGCTCGAATTCGACTCCTTTATAGGATCAATTGCTTGAACTCAAGTGCAGTTTTCAAAAAGTATTTATGAACAATAAAAAATTATGATTTACAGAAAGTAAAAATTTTATGATATCTCTATGTAATAATTCATTAAAAATCAATTATTATAATGTGAATGTTGTATGAATGCACATTCATTACAAAAATAACATGGCTTTATCCAAAGTATTAATATAATTGTAGCAATAAAAATAAATGAAAATAAAAAACAGGCTCAAAGCATAAATTGGATGATTAAATAATATCTAAATATAACATGCTTAAACTCGAATCGAGCGGCTCAATGAGACAATGTTTTCTTAGTTATGATATCATTAAGGCACATAAATGCTTTAAAATGCTCTATAATCGGGGGATAAATGTTGGCCGTTTGATGGGGCATTCCAAAATTACCACTGATCCTCTCCATATTTGCATGGTGTGCCATGCACGAAAATCTATAAATAAATCTCCACTCTCTACATAAGGGGGCATTCGACTGAAGATTGGAGAGAGTTCGAGGCTTCAAGAGCTCTAGCAAAACTACTGATAAGTATAAATAATTTTTATATTTTATGTGTTAATTTGTTAGTGAGAACGTGTTGTTTTAGTCGTGTTTGTGCAATAAAATAGAGGAAATTGACAAAATTTTCAAGTATGGTATAGCGCAATGGCGTCGGACACAATATTGTCGTGGTGCCATCATTGAGATTGTTGAAGCATAAAATATGGACATGGCGATGCCCAGTCTATGTTTGACAATGTCGCATTGTCGGAGGAGTCAGTGTCGCAAAGCCAATCTCTATATGCATAGCATTGCAACGTTAAATTCAAGCACCGCCAAATCAAGGGGGAGTGCCACGTGGACACCGCAATGCTCAACCGTTAGCAGTTGCGGTGCGTTGATTCAAGCCACGTCAAGCAACTGCATCTCGGCACTCTTGCCTTCATTTTACTATGATTTGATAAATTAAAATTTAAACAACTCTAATAATTGTATAAGCTAGCACCACATCATTTATCTTTGAAACCCCATAATGCAAGTCAACTTCAGTCATTAAGCTTGGTTAAGCAATTAGTTAAATGAATCGTTCGAATTGAAAGTCACATTATTAGTTTATGGTAAGCACCACAAAACTATAACTAATGTCGCGACGCTACATCATTTTCATCATTGTAGCATTGATAGCACCGCGACGCCACAACACTAGAACTGACATGACTGCTGCTGCGCTAGCATGTGGCAACACCGTAGCGGTCGCCTGATTCCAAAAAGTCATTTTAATTTCATAGCACTAGCACCATTGCGCCATGTAGCCAAAACCACTACAACATTTGAATTTGACTATTTTGTCATTTAGTGCATGCATTAAGCACCGCGGCGCCATACCTTGTAATGTTGCGGCGCTTTTATGTTTATAATTTGGTATACCTTTTTTCATCTTATTACAATAAGGGTTTGAAAATTGGATTGGACAATAAACTAAAAGAATTAGAGGTTAGTGGTTTGATGGTTCTACCGGTGTCGATTCGGGGTCGAACCGAATGATGTAATAAATACTTATTATATTTAAATATAATAATAATGACACAACTATTTATAAATATATAACAAAAATTGAACATAATTATACTATGAAGCATAAAAAATATAACATTATATAAACTAAATGAGAAAAACAAAATAATATATTTAACTTGAAGACACCACCAATTATAGAAAGATTTTAACATTATATACTAACTAATAATAAAAAGAAAATTACAAAAATAACATGGCTTTATCCAAAGTATTAATATAATTGTAGCAATAAAAATAAATGAAAATAAAAAACAGGCTCAAGTCCAATGCATTGTTGTGCAAGAACCTTGCTGGTCATTAGATAGCAACAACAACGAAAGGTATAATATATCTTCAAATTTAATTATTATATATTATTTCAACAAAAAATTTAATTATTTTAT